TACTGACTCTGCCAACACCTTCCCCCCAACGGCCACCAGGAACATGCCTATATAAACAAAGTTAAGTTGATCTAGTTGTTGCAACAGGAGAGGTGGCACATAATAGCGAACTATGGGGGTAGGTCTCTAAGAGGATGGTTAGAAGGAGTTGATTGGATTTGGGCACGTGTAAAGTGAGGAGAGTGGTCAAGGAAGCAGGGCTTTGCCTTTAATTAGATGTCGTAAGTAAATGGAGTTACTTCTGTGACTGCGCATCTTAAGAATTTTTATCTAGATGGCAGGAACAATGTAGAGAGGCTAAAACCAAGATTGGTAAGGCAGCATCATTTGTCACATTAGTGAAGATGGGGGATATGCAGTCATTTGGGGTGGTTTGCACCCATTTTTTGGTCTGTTGAAATATGATTACAAGATGGTCACGTTTTGGTCTTGATCCATCACAATCATGAAGTGGCCTTGTCTGTTGTTGGCATTCTGAGCTGTTGCACATATTCAGCAGGAGAATACTGCAGGCTAGCTGTGAGCACTAGTCAATGTCAACATTGAGCATCTCCAAGGACTAACTGAAGTGCCCAGCCAGCTTCTGATTATCAGTGGCTTCTTTTTGCTTTTTCAAATGAATATCAACAGAGGCATAATAGGATAATATTTATGTTTTAGTAAGTTCACTCTGACAGAAGTGATGTGAAAACCTCTAAAGGAATACAGTATTAGTGGCAGGGAAGACCAGCTAGGGATTTTCTTCTTAAACAGAGGTAACCCATGGTATTAGCTTTAATCAGGGTTGTAGTGTTAGGAATAGAGAGAACTGGACACTTTCAAGAGTGGTTAAGGGAATGAAATTAATTGAACTAGGGTGGACTTGCAAATGGTAGGAAAAAAAAATCTAGATGACCCAGTTAGCTTTTAGATTTCTGGATTAGGCTGTCAGAAGAAAGAAAGGAAAGAGAAAGAATAAAGGAGGGCTGGGGAGAGCATAAGATTTATTTTAAGTTTTCAGGCAAATATCCAATTAAAGTTGTCTATTAAGCAATTAAATAAACTGGCTTGGGCTTCAAGGGAGAGACATAAGCTAATGATACATATTTGGGAGCCATTAGAAAATAGATGTTATTTGAATAGGAAGGAATGAGGATAATCCAGGGAACAAAAACAAGGGAAGAACTGTGTAGAATATCAATAATAAAGGAAAAAGGAGATAGAACAAATGACCAGAAATGCACAAAAGTAACCAATAGATAATGGTATCCCATAAACCCAGGGAGGAAAGAATTTCATGAAGGATAAAGAGGTTAAAATAGAGTATAGTCCTGCAGAGAAGTTGAGTAACTAAGACACAAAAATATTCCTATGTGTTTAAAGGAGAGGAGGCTTTTATTGAAGATATGGATGTGTGGCTGAATGGAAGCAGATTCCTTATGACATAGACAGTGAAAATATTGAGAACTCACACACATACACACACACACACACACATACACAGACAGATTAGCCTTAACTGGCCAAAGCACAGTCTCTTCCACCAAGGCAGAGGGGGAAAAGAGAATATGAGCACAAATACACATAATTTGTTAGATATCATCTTAAATAAACTAAGAGGGAAAGTCATCTGCCATGCCCATTAAAAACTCAAAATAATTGTCGAGAGAAGGAGAGAAGAAAACTTACAAGGAATGCATGGAAAGCTTATGGAGAAGCACCAAAGCATCTGTGTAAGTAGAGTATTTCTGAAACAGAGTAATGTCTGGAAGTCAAACATCTACAGTCTAGTTACGCAAGGAGGTAGGTGAATTGAGCAGATTAGGGAAATGGAAACCTTTGGAGATAGCAGGACAACCAATATGACCTGAGATTTTTAATGAAGGCATAATGTGGGTGGAGAAGAATATGATCCTGGTGCCAGTCTTCAATGAGAAAATATTATCACAAAATGGTGAGTAACAGATGGCCATCGGGATAGCCAAGGGACGAGATATTTTTACACAGAAAGAAGTACCTTCGCAATTGGCCCTGGGAAGTGAGGAAACTAGCAATTCTAAATGAGTGGGGGATATATGCAACTAAGGAATCATTGAACACTACATCAAAAACTAATGATGTACTATATGCTGGCTAACTAAACATAATAAAAAATAAATGAGTGGGAGGAGTTAAAGAGTCACTAGTCTTAGTGGTGTTCTTGAGGGTAAAAGTGGTTTCCATGTAGTACTAGAACAAGTAAGAATGAGTACATAGGACAGAAAGTTTGTTTCGGAAGAAGGACTTCAGAATGCACAGAGAGTACGTGTGGGAAGGACCCAAGAAGCAAGGCCAAAGAAGGGCAGAGAGATGAAGAGTCAAGAAAACACAGATTAATAGAGATACCTATATTGTGGGTGGCAAACCCAGATAATAGACCTAAAAGAAATGTAGAATTAATTGGCTTCAGGATTTCCAACAGAACTTTGTTAAAAGTTGATTTGGTATGAGTGAGAGCAAGCATGGGCTCCAGAAAGAGCCCAAGGCCTGTTGACCTTAATAGCTGGTATGAGGGCTTTCAAGAGAACACTATACAGGTGTACAACCACCTTGCAGTAAGACTAGATTGTTGTTTTAATTACTACCTTACATTACCATGTGCTCAGTTCAAGAAGTTGAGTAGCTACACCTGTTAATTCCACTTGAATTTCCCAACTGTGGTGACATTAACAGAATGAGTAAAGGATCTAGGAGTTTGGTAAAGTCTCAGATGATGCCTTAGAGTGCTGATTCTCAAACCTTTATGTACAAACCAATCACTTGTGGATCTTGTTCAAATACAAATTGATTCATTAGGTCTGAACTCACACGTTTCTAATAAGTTCACAGATGATGCCAATATTGGTTGTCCGGGGACCACTCGGAGTAGAAATGTCCCCTGGAATTCAACTTTTAAGTAAGTGCATTATGTTAGTTATATAGATAAAACACATGACTAGTAGAAAGAGAAAAATTGTTAGTTTTAAAAATATATAAAACTGAAGTGATAATATTCTACAACATTCTAATTGGCTGAAAACACTTGAAAGTAATAGATGAGTGAAGGAGTCGAGTGAAAGAAAAAAAAAAGAGGGTAATATTTAGCCACTTTTAATGCCTAAAAACGAATACCACTCAAGTTCATGAGACGGGCCTCCTGTGTGTTCAAAATAAGTTACATACACTGACAGGTGAAGAAGTAAGAAAATTAATGTACGTCTAAACTGCATATCCATCATCATTACTATGTATTTCTCTCAAGGATTTTTAATACATACATATTATATTTAGCCTGAAGGAAATGTCTAGGTAAATCATTTCATGTCCTATTTTAGTAGGCAATTAAGAATGATGTTGTTATTTCAGAAAATGAGAGTAGAAGTTGATAAAGGTGACTCACAAGGTATCAGAAAACCACTCATACAATATTGTACATCTTTTTTAGCACTTTCAGTCTGTCATTGCTGACACTATTGATTAAATGCAAATTGCTTCTAGGTAACCATATGATAACAGGAAATTTTTGAATTTATATTCTTGAGATTCTGGTACTCAATTTTCCTGCTTGATCAGAGCTGTTTTAAGATCCAGAAATAGGATGACAAACAGATAAGTAGATTATTGGGATAAATTTTTAAAAATTTAAATTAGCTAATAAAATGTCTGTCCAAGGTGACTTATACTTTCAGTGGTCAAATACATCACATGAACTTTAAAATGTATTTTAGACTTGATCTTCTCTAAGCAGTTTTCTACTTAATAGAACTTCCCTCCACAATCATCACGAAAAACGTACCTTCAAGTGAGTATACTTTGAAATAACACACTTTGCTAATTTTCTACTATATATATTATGCTTCAGTTTAATTTTAAAACTAAAACATCATCATAGTGCCCATTTCTTAAAATTATTTATAATTGTCTATTATTATACTAATGACAGTACACTGTATATAACTAATAATGCTTTTAAAATAACTTCTCAATTTATAAATTGTTAACTCTGAGATATGTTGATGGAACCATCTCCTCTCTACCTCAAGCAGCCTAAAAAATAGAGTATTTTCTCCTAGAAGAAAATCATTTCTTGCTCTCCCAATGTTCCAACTGCAGAGCAAGTATTAGCTTGTATCTAAGAGAGTGTTGTGTTTGGAAAAATCTAAGAGAGTTTGTCTGGTAGGAAACTGAATGCTCGAAACATGAAACTGAGTTATTCACATACATGACCTTCCTATAGCTAAAATTATTTAACATTCAGAATATTTGTTTCTTTAGCCTGCCCACTACAGAGTATTCACTCTATTAGAAACGCTCTCACAAACAATTGCCAAAATGGATGTTTTATAATTGTAGAAGTTGAAATATCAAAGCCCTGATAATGTCCTTGAAGATGAAGCAGCTCCTATTAAATTAATAAAAATCCCTATTGTGAAAGACACAATTATAATGCCTCAGCAGGTAATAAAAACAGTAAACTGCCTCTTACTATAAATAAATATTGAAAAAGGCTGGACATCTTTTAGTTATGGTAATGCAATACATAAATATCTGGACAATGCAAATCTGTTACAAGTACTAATGAGTATAAAAAATAACTTTTTGATGATAGTGAGAGCATAAACAGGGTCCTAAGTCTAGTATTTCTAAGGGTCTATTCTATTCTGCAAGCTTGCTAAGTCCCAGCCTTGAGGTGACAGAACAGTACATGAAGGAAAATCAATATGAGTTAATGTTATACAATTGTTAATTTACAGCTAAATATTAAAAAATTTAAAGAAGGTTTATGAAAAGCATCCCTGCTCAGTCACAACAGAACCAGGAAAAATTTCTCTAAGCTAAACTCTGATTCTGCTGGATATGTAAAATATACTTTAAAGATATATTTAAAAGCATTATTCCATATTGCTTTAATCTTTTCAACTGATAGAATCAGATAGTACAAAGCACAGAGTTTACAAGCAGCAAAACTTAGGAAAATACATAAAAATTAATGCATAACCTACATTGACTTTTTCTTTAAGGTCTGAGAAGTTGCCTTCCTTCCGATAGATTGCAAATTCAGGACTCTGCAACACAGCTTCTGAACGAGTAATCCAACTGTGAAGTTCAGTTATATCGACATCCAACCTAAGACAGGAAAAAATAAGGGTCATTATTTCTTGATTATCTCTTTCTTCTACATGAAAAAAAAATAATCTCTCCACGTTTACCATTCTCCTTCCAATCTGAGACTCCTGCCTGATGCCCCTGTTACTGTTAATAGCACTACCACTTCCCTAGTTACGTAGGCTCAAAATTTGGAGTTAGCTTTGATCTAGTCTTATGATCATGGAAATCACTTTATTAAGCTCAATGTAGCAATCGCCTCCCTAGAGTATCTCCTATAAGCTATCATTCTGCCTCTGCTTGAATGTTTGCACGGGCTGAAAAATTACTATTCCCCAAGTTAACCCTCTTTCTTTCTGGAAAGTACTTATACCAAACATAAAATTCCTGTCGGTAGCTCCCATTGAACCATACCTTGGAAATCCATGCCCTTGTGTAGTCTCCAACAATATCACTGACTCTGAATTTGACCATGTAACTTGCTATGGCAAATGGGATATTAGGAAGCATAAGGCAAGCAGAGGCTTCATAAGTGCTTGCACTGTGGATCTTGTCCTCTTAGAACATGCACTGAGAATGCAACTGTTAGCTAAGAATTCCAATGGCCCTTTAAGGAAGCTTGATCTAGCCAGCTGGAGAGACAATGTCGAAGCGAATGAGGCACCACACACGTGAAGAAAGCTTTCTTTCACCTTTTGACCTGACACCAGCTGAATATAGCCAAATGAATTACCCAGCTGATAGCACTTAGAGCCTCAGAACTACCCAGAGAGCCCTGCCCACATTGCAGAACCCTGAGAAAAGATAAGATGCTGCAATAAGCATCTAATCATATACCCTGATATTCTCATTCTTTTATTGTGGAGACCTATGGAGCCAATGGGAGTTAATTGTTCAATCAGGTCATTCAGATTGAGGTAAAGCAGAGATTGGAGGAGAGTCATACACAGTTGCAAGGGAGGAGGAGGTCTGTGCATCACTTGAAATTCCAGGCACAATTCTAAATTGTGTGTGCATTTTTCTTGAGAAAGAACCCCTAGATTTTATCAGCACCTGTAAAGAATCTATGAAAAGAGAATTTAGAAATCATCTAATCCAAGTTTATTAAAACAACAGTCAACAAGGTCTCCAGAAAAATATTTATTCAATTTTTATAGGAAGCTTGTGAAATAGGACAAAAGTACAGATATAAAATTTAAGACACCAAGTAATGTACTTTTATCACCATGATACATCTTCTTATCCAAGACAACCCTCACATAGTTGAAATCAATTCTTTAAAAACACTAAAAAATATCTGAGGGTACCCTACCTTATTCCTAGTTACTTCTATGGCTAATGCCTTGGCTTGTCAGTATGTTGTTTAAAATTTGGCTCCTAAAGAGACCATGTCAATAGTGTTTAGTACAATCAGGAAGGAACAGACAATTATCTTCTTGGATATGCAGCCTACAAGTTTGATCAATGTTTTGACTTCCATATTAGACCTTTAACTCACATTGAAGTTAAATTGAGCTAGACATCTCAGAATTTTTCACATAAACTATTGCTAAGCCAGTTCTCCACAACCACAAACTTAGGAGATGATTTCCTTTTTTTTTTCTTTTTTTGAGAGAGAGGGTGCAGGGCAGAGGCAGAGGGAGAGGGAGAGGGGGAGAGAGAGAATCTTAAGCAGGTTTCACACCCAGTGTGGAGCCCAATGTGGGGCTCGATCTCACAACCCAGAGATCATGACCAGAGCCAAAATCAAGAGTCAGACGCTTAACTGACTGAGCCACCCACGGGCCCTAGGAGGTGATTTCCCAAACTCTTACTTCAGGGCTTTCAGTCATATAAACCTGATAAGGTTTTGCATGTTAGTTGCAGGCTACTGTTTTAAAATTAAACTGATACAGACCTTCACAGAACATGAAACACTTCCAAAAACATATTCTCTTTTTGTGTTCTTAAAAAAGCCTATGGTGAGGGGCGCCTGGGTGGCTCAGTTGGTTAAGCGACTGCCTTCGGCTCAGGTCATGATCCTGGAGTCCCGGGATCGAGTCCCGCATCGGGCTCCCTGCTCGGCAGGAAGTCTGCTTCTCCCTCTGACCCTCCTCCCTCTCATGCTCTCTGTTGCTCATTCTGTCTCAAATAAATAAATAAATCTAAAAAAAAAAAAAGCCTATGGTGAGTTATTATTAATCTCTCTGCTCGTGTAAGAAGGAAGTTCAAAGAAATTAAGTGAATTGATCTCAGACTGTTAGTACCATGGAGAAGGAACTTAATTCATCTTGTTTACCATTATATCCTTCACCTCAAATAGGGCCTGGTTCACAGGGACAAATATTTACTGAGTGAAGCGTACTCAACAAGAAACTGAAGGAACAGGGATCTGAATTCAGAGACTTGGACTCCAATTCCATGTCACTGAATGTCAAAACTTTTATTTGCATTTGGGCTGTAAATATCTATGGATTTTCATTTTATCATGGTGATTGTTATCTTCCCTACATTTGTTTTTTCCTGTAAGTTTAGTTACCGGGTTTCCTATTTCTTCATTCATAATGGTGATGTTGAAATAGAGTCCTATTGCATGCTTCTAAACACCTCTCTTTCTCTCTTTGATGTTAACTCACCAAATCAAATCTTTGACTCTGGTCACTCAGCCACCTACAAAATTCAGTGCAGGTTTTCCATCAGAATACTTTAAGAAAAGAAGCATTTTTACTTTTCCTTTTGTACAATACAGATATCACTGGGTCTCTCTGCCTTTAGGCATTCATTTGCCAGTGCACAGGGGAGGCCAGAAGTGCTCAGATGTTAATCCCACCAGAGTGACCCTTAACAAGAGAGAGCTAGGAGCTGGTAGATCAATATCCCAGCACCCCTGCCTTTCAGTATGACCATCATGGTGAAAGTTACACACAGAACCTCAGGGGGTTCCCAGACGGTTTCAACTCCAGTTGCCTCCAGCAATAACCCAGTATCATCTTTTATTGGCTGCCTTCTTTCCCTAACCTCACTCCCCCACTTTATTTGCTGGGATCACTTCTCCCAATAAAAAACTTGCACCTAAATCTTTGTCTCCAGATCCACTCCCGGGGAACCCAACTAAAGCAATGATCAACAGCTGCAAATGAACCCAGCATCCTGCCATATTTAGCTGTTTTCTCCTTGAACTCTGACTCTCCACAGGAACTATTTTAAACTTTTTCCAAAGCTTTCAAAGCGTTAACCCATCTTCCTTCTACAGCTATCAACAGATGACATTTTTTACTCAACCAATGAAAGGGCAATTATCAGACTAGAATTTCTTCCACTTTCTATGTCCAAATATTCAATCTTACCTGTGTGTGCCCGTCTCATTCCCTTCTCTTACATTTGAATGAGTTTCCCTTCTTTACCTAAAGCCAATCACTCTACTTGCCTTTTATACTTTGTTCTTTCACTTTTTTAAATTTAATTTTATTATGTTAGTCACCATTCATTATATCATTAGTTTTTGATGTATTGTTCCATGATCTATTGTTTGCATATAACACCTAGTGCTCCATTCAATACTAGTGCTCCTTAATACCTGTCACCGGGCTAACCCATCCCCCCAACCCTCTCCCCTCTAAAACCCTCAGTTTGTTTCTCAGAGTCCATAGTCTCTCATGGTTCATCTCCCCCTTCGATTCCCCCCCCTTCATTTTTCCCTTCCTACTCTCTTTTTTTTTTTTTTAACATATAAT